TATATATATATATATATATATATATATATTGTTTATTTATTTATTTACTTAATAACTGTTGTTAGTAGTTGTAATGAATGAAATGAGAAAACGGAGAGATGTAGAAAGGATGGTGAAAGAAGAATGAGAATAAAATGGAATGTGAGAAGAAAAACGAAATTTAAAATAACTTAATGAATGAATTAAATAAAATGAAATGATTTAAAATGAAGTGAATACTAATAAATAAGTTGTTGACTTCAAAGGACTGACTGGTCAGTTAAAAAAATGAAGTACTAAAGAATCAAATCTCCAGGAGGAAGAAGAGGACAACAATGTAGAAATATATAATGGAAAAAGTGTTTGTTGGGATGAGATGTTAGGTACCATTACCGGTATGTGTTTAATATTCGTTCAGTTTAATGATTACTGATTAGTGATTGTTAGTTGGGTTCGATAAGATGTTTGATAAGAGGTTACTTATGAAGAGGTAAGGAAAAGTGGATGGATTTCAAGAAGTGAGCAAGGAAAGGAGGAAGGGAAAATTTTTCAGGTTGTAGTAAAGGATGGAAGTTTGGCATATGGTCGATGATCGATATGATGAGTTAAGTGGACAGGTGGATGGGTAGATTAGTGGATAAGGTACTTAAGCTTTTTCGGTACTTTGATGTGTTATATCTTATGAGAGTACCATTTTAAGCTGGTGTTAGTAACATTGATATTCTTGTTGATCGTGTTATTATTTTGATACTTAATGTTAGTCAACAATCATTTTGATGCACGCAAGTGGTACTAAGTCACTGAATAGTGACTGTTCCTAGCTCCAACAATAACAACTATTCAGATATTTTTGCTGTTGCAAAGAGACTTGAGAAATTGGTATCAGGTAGGTCAATAACATTTCCTAAGGAGGGCATGATAATAATGTTAGCGAAGTGATAGTGATAGTAAGGTTAATGATGTGATAAGACGTGAAAAGATTAAAACTTTTTTGTTTTGGTTCACGTACGTAGAACTTAGAAATTAACATTCAAAACAATAAATACTATTTATTTGTATTATTACGTACGTATAAACATACGTTTGTAGTTGATGTACATTTTTATGGCATATTTCTGTAGTCACGTTGAACTGATAATGAAAAGAGAATGTTACAGTGATAAAGTGATAGGAAAATGATAACAAGAAACAGGAGGAAAAAATTGCATCTCATATTTCAAGATGTAGAGAGCGAAAGCACCTCGCATTTATTGACTTTATCAAACAATTTTTTCTTCATTTTCCACAATTCAGTCATCTATTTGTTTATTTATTTATTCACTAATTTCACTAATTCAATATTTTATTGAATTAGAAGCGAAAAAAATTTTTCAAAAAATATTATTAAACATTTCACAGATTATTTGTTATTATTCTTTACACGTTTCATTCTGATTGTCTCTTCACTGATCTATTCCAAACTTACTTTTACTACTTTTTATTGCCAGTCTTTATGAATTTGTGTACTTATCTGTATGTTTGTGTGTATGTATGTGTATGTGTGTATACGCCACTGCTTCCTTAAATCAAAATGCATTTATACTTTCATTTAACAAAATTTTCAGCTCCTTAGCTTTCTTACAACAATTTGTTTGCAATATATTATTCATACACTATGCAATAAGAATAATCATGTTAACTATGTATGAATATAAATAAAATGAACTATATCATTTAATATATCAATTATAATATGATTAAATGATGAAAAGTTGTTGAAATGTTAGGCACGAATGATATGAAATTTAATTAATTAATTCAAATGATGATCATATAGTTAAGAGAATGATCATTGT